CAATTTCCCCATATGAGTAAGAAGAGCTGGCTGAAAGAACAGAGAAAATTATTTCTCAAAGAACCAATTTGCAAAATGCCAATACCAAACATGCAAACAATTAAGCCACGTGCTTAAAAATCTTCATGGGATTTTAGTAATAGTAGAGAAGTTTTCAATGACCTAATCCTCCCACCAAATAATTAAACTATTTGGAAAACATTTAAAAATAACTAGTTGAGGGCTGGAGAGATGGCTCAGCACTTAAGAACGCTGTTCTTCTTACAGAAGACCTGGGTTCGAATCCCAGCACCCAGATAGAAGCTAACAACTGTCCACAACTCCAGTTCCAGGGGATCTGACAGCATCTTCGGTCCTCCACGGGCATTGCACAACATGGTTGCACTTACCTACATGCAGGCAATACACGCATACACATAAAATAAAAATAATAAAATACTTTTAAAAAAAACAAAAACAAAAATAAAACTAATTGAGCATACCAAAGAACAATCAAAACCAGGCACAAAATAGAGGGAATCTGTCACCTGAGAAAAGGGAATCGCAGTGGGCAAGAGCCATATCTCAGCAGTTAAGAAAACTGACTGCTCTTGCAGGGGACCCGGGTTCGATTCCCAGCACCTACATGGCAGCTATGAACTGTCCTTAACTCCAGTTCCAGGGGAATCTGAAGCCCTCTTCTGACCTCTGGTGACATTGCACGACACGGGTGCGCTCACATACTTGCAGGCAATACACGCATACACATAAAATAAAAATAATAAAATATTTTTTTAAAAGATCCATATTTGTAAGCTTTCCTCCAGATTATGCCATCAGGCTCCACTGGAAGCCACAGTTATATCAACTTGAGAAGTGAAATGGCAAAGCTCAGGACCATCAGGTAACTGGACATTCAAGAGAGAAATCCTAGGAAGGACAGAGCCACAGAAAGAAGAACTTCAAATATATCAAACTGTGCATGTGCAAGAAAGACCCAAAATGTCCAGAAAATGTAGGAGCTAAAACACTACAAATTTAAAAGGACTTAAAACACTCTGGGATCTCTGTGGAACACCAGTTTTGCCCTAAGACTATGGAATTTGTCCTGGAACTCAGAAAGGTGAAAGAGTTTTGTTCTTAAAAGCCTTCACAGTATTGAGGGAATCAGTCAGTGACTTTACTACTTGCTAGAAAAGGAAGAGGAATAAAGGAGAACTCTTATTGTTTCTTATAGTATCAATAAGAAAGAGCATTTGTCAGAATTTTAAAAAAAATTTTTTTATTTATTTTTAATGTGTATGAGTGCATTGCCTGCATGCATGTAAGTGCACCCATGTCATGCAATGCCTAAAGAGGTCAGGAGAGGGCATCAGAGTACCCTGGAACTGGAGTTACAGATGGTTGTTAGCTGCCATGTGGGTGCTGGGAACGGAACCCAGGTCCTCTGCAAGGGCAGCCAGTGCTCTTAACCACTGAGCGATCTCTCTAGCTCCCCATTTGTCAGAATTTAACAGTTACTTTTACTGAAGAAGAAGAGGAGGGGGAGGACGAGAAGGAGGGGAGGAGGAGGAGGGGGAAGGAAGGAAGGAACCAGGGAGGAGGGAGGAGGGCTAAGAGATAAAGTAGAACCAGAATGAAACTTCTTCACTTCAGTGAAGTCATCTGTGGAACACCTGCTGCCAAAGTAAAAACCAGCTCAGACTGAAGTTCTTCCTCACAAGACTGAACAAGTAGGAGACAAGGATTTAGGTCCTGGAGTCTCAGAATACAATGAGGCATTTTAAAAGACACATAAGCATAAGAAAACTGTCTTTATATAGACAACATGGTTATCACCTAAGCATACACACACACAAATACACATCTATTAGAAATAGTAAGTGAATTTAGTAATGGGGTAGAAGTGTATAAAGCCAATATACAAAAAGCAATTTCTCTATATTAACAACTTCAAGTGAAAATTTCAAAATTCCATTTGCAACACCACAAACCTTAAAGTACTTAGCAATAAAAAATTTTTCAAGAACTCTTGAAAATTATATAATATTAGCAATCCTAATGATATTGCTGAGCAACATTAAAGGCTATTCACAAAGGGAGAGATACACCATGCTTATGGATTTGAAGGTGCTTTTAATAATTAAGATGCCACTTCTCAAATTGATCTAGAGATTTAACCCAATTTCCAAAAGCTTTTGTGTAGAAAAATATAAGCCAACTCTAAAATTGACATCAAACTTCAAAATAAAAAGCAAACAAGAAGTTGGAAGACTCACACTACTCAACATTAAGTCTTACTATAAAGCAAGAGTAAGGAGGGCAGTGTGGTACTACCTAAGGATGAGCAAACAGATCAACATAGACAGCCCAGAAACAGACTCGGACATGTGGTCGGTTGGTTTTCAACAAAGGCACCATGATGATTCAATGGGAAAACAGGAAGCCTTCTCAACAAATGATGCTATAACAATAGGATTAGTACACGTATACACACGCATACACATACATGTGAGCATATATGCGTATACACTCTCAATTCCTACGATATCACAAATATTCAGATGGAACATTGGCTTCAACATAAAACTGTAAGTTTCTAAAATAAAGCCGGTGGCTGTCTCTGTGACCCAATGATAAGACTTCATAAAGAGGACACAAAACATACAAACTATGAAAGATGTCACTGATACATTGAACTCCATCAAAATTAAAAACTTCTGCTCAAAGATACCATTAAGAAAATCAAAAGAGCAGCTGGAGGGATGGGTCAGTGGTTAGTAGCACTGGTTGTTCTTGCAGAAGACCCTGGTTTGAATCCCAGCACCCACATGGCAGCTAACAACTGTCTGTAACTACAGTCCCAGGGGATCCAACAGCCTCTTCTGACCTCCAAGGGCATTGCATGATATGGGTGAACTTACCTACATGCAGGCAATACACGCATACACATAAAATAAAAATAATAAATAAATTTTTTTAAAGTTGAATAAAACAAAGAAAATCAAAAGAGGCTGGAGAGATGGCTCAGTGGTTAAGAGCACTGACTGCTCTTATAGAGGTTATTTTAGAAACTTACAGTTTTAACTTTTTTTTTTTGTCTTTTTGAGACAGGGTCTCCCTCTAGCCTCAGCTGGCCTGGAACTCACTGTGTAGACCAGGCTGGCCTGGGACTCACAGAGATCCGCCTGCCTCTGCCTCCCAAGTGCTGGGATTAAAGGCGTGTGCCACCACACCGACTCAGTTTTAACTTTTATGTTATTATTTTTATTTTCCATGTTATATGAGTGCACCTGTGTCATCCAATTCCCTCGGAGGTCAGAAGTGGGCTTTGGATCCCCCGAAACTGGAGTTATGGATGGTTGTTAGCTGCCATGTGGATGCTGGGAACTTTAAAAATTCTTTTAAAAAGAAAATCAAGAAGAATGGATATAATCATGCATGCCTGTAATTCCAGCCACTCTGTAGGCTGATGCAGAAGGATCCCATGTTTAAAGTTTACCTGGGTAACTTAGTAAGACTCCATCTCAAAAGCAGAAAATAAAAAGGGACTGAGGATGTGCTCTGTGGTAAAGCACTTGCACAGCATACACAGACCCTGACTTTAATGCCCAGTAGGAAGAAAAGGAGCAAAGGCTGTGGGAGATGGGGAAATGTTCGTCATGTGTCATACATATTTTCACATAGGTCTCACATTGAGAAAACATAAGAACTCCCATAAAGTAATAAAAAAAAATCATCTGATGTGGGGTTGGGATATTATTCAAAATAAAGGTAAAATACTCATATTACGGGACTGGAGATATGGCTTAGCAGTTAAGAGCACTGACTGGTCTTGCAGAGGACCTGGGGTCGATTCCCAGCACCTACATGGCAGCTACTAACCGTCCTTAACTCCAGTTCCAGGGGAATCCAAAGCGCTCTTGTGACCTCCATGGCATTGCACGACACGGGTACACTCACATACATGTAGGCAATACACTCAGACACATAAAATAAAAATAATGAATGAAATATTTTTTAAATACTCATATTACAATGGCATGAATGAGTCTCACAGAAATGATACTGAGCAAAAATAGCTAGACACAAAAGGAGACATACCACACAATTCCATACATGAACCCTAGAATGGGAAAACTGCTTCATGGGACAGGAAAGCATTGTACTTATTATTACCTTGGACAACAGGAGGGACTTACAAAAAGCATAAGGAAACTTTTGACAGAGTGGTTCTGTATTTTGGATCATGAAGCTAATTACTGTCTCTGCATTTGTTGAAATTCAAATTATTCAGTTTTTTTGTCTTTTAGAGACAAGGTCTCCTTTGAGACAAGGTCTCTTCCAGCTGGCCTGGAACTTGCTGTGTAGACCAGAATGGCCTCTATCTTACAGAGATCCACCTGCCTCTGCCTCGAGAGTACTAGGATTAAAGGTGCATACCACCCATGTCTGACCAAGTTACTCACTTCTGATCTTTCACTTCACCATATGTAAATTTCTCCTCGATTTGGGAAAAAAAGAATTTCTGTGGGGTAAACAGTTTGGTAGCAGCAAATAAAGCACAGGATCCCTTAAAGGATAAGAATCAAGTGGAGATTATAAAGGAGGGAATATGATCTTCAAATGTCTTTTAGAGACATCCAGAGGCAAACGAAAAGCTTGGCACAAAACCAAGGCTAAAGGAGAGTTTAAGAGGCATGACTCAAAAGAAGCAAGGCAGTGCAGCACTTCAGTGAGGGTAATCATGGATAAAATAAAAACTCACTGAATATGATAACATGACACAAAACTGACAGACCTACGAAAGTCATTAAACCTGGCCATATGTGAGCCAATAATCGATTGCTGGGCAACAAAATTCATCCAGTCCCCCAAAACTTACAAGGGTGATTTTTAAGCATCTTCTGGAGGTTTTATCTTTAGGAAACTGTCCTGCTATAATTTCCATGATAGAAATTCCTCCTAATTATGTACTGAAATTATAAATATACTAGAAACTACCCAAAACTCAGTCCTACCTTCAGTAAAACTCCCGGTTAGGGTTATTACCACAAACACCTTCCCCTCAGGCTCCAGATCCACCTAGAAAGAGAGAAAAAAAATACACATTACATTTTAATATTAAATTATTTTTTGTGTATCTTAAATAATCCTTCACAGAGATGCCTAAATATATAAACTATAGCCATAAATTGAATCTAAGCCTTTCATTGCATAGCAGGGGGGCAAGGAAACAGGTAACCGCTTAGGAGCTGGGGAGGCTTAGAAAGTCAATCTGAAAGAAACTCTCCTCAGAGCATCTTCCCTCTTGAATTTTCCCTCTCTCTCTCTGCTGCCCGGCATGGTACAGAGGGGGGCATATGCTTGCTTAATGCTTTTGAGATATCCATTCCTTATGACCACCTCGAGAAGGAGCCGCATGCAATTGAAACTCATGGCAAGTATATGAGGAGAAACAACTGAAACAGGCAAGGTGATGAATGAATGTGGCTCAGTCAATTGCAAATCTTTAGTTTTATGGAGTAAAAAGTATGAAGAATCTGTTTCCACTAAAGTCTAGTCCACGGTAAGGAAGCACAGGGAAGGGGGTGTGGGGCCTGCTCCCTTCTGACTGCTCCTAGGAGTTTCAACATCGGCTGAGACATCTAGTCATTCTTTCTAAAGACCCTCAAAGAGTGGAGCACCAAGGATGGAACTGCACCCTTCAGATCTGCTCTGATCTTCTGATCTTCACAAACCCTGGCCGGCAGGCTCTGCCTGTCTTCCTGCAGGACCCTAATTTCACTGCCCACCCATGTCTCAAAACTCTGCAGCACGAGAAGCTTGTGGACTCAAATATATGCATTTACAAATGTCCTAAAATAAATCTGTCAGAATCCACTCATGGCTCCACTCCATCTATGACCTTTCATCTGGAAGAAGAAAGTCAAGCAAGGCCAACTATAGACAGAGAAGATGATCTCTGGGGGTAGATCAATACATTTACATACTTGGCAAACTGCATGGGACAATAGAATGTGCCAGACCAGGGCTTCCCTCTGACTCCACTGAGGGTGGTGCTAGAGTGGCCTAGCTATTTCACCACCCCATCTCCCTGTTCTCTCAGAGTTTAGGGGAACAGTCATGCAGCATTCTGGCCAGGCTTCCATTACAGAACTTAGCAGTAAGCCAAGATCCCTCAGAGTGGGCTGGCCTTTCGATTACTTCCACATATTTTTTATTCTTATATCACAGTTGGATTAGATACTTTTCACAATAAATGATGGATGCTTTGTATGGGCTAGAAAGCATTACCTTTGTGCTGTGAAACCCTGTTCTTAGACACTGCCTTTCTCTGCATGAAATCTGTCCCCAGAGGGGTTACCATACTATAAATCACTTCCATGTTCAAATCAACCTGCTTGCATCATGACGAACCCTAACTTACATCTTACCTACCTTGACACCCTTTGTGAACCTCTACTGAACAGTTCTGAAAATAGAGCTCTCTGGAGAGATGACTAAACAGGATGTCAGTGTCTAATTGTCTCTACTCTCTGCCTTGACTTGTTTCAAGTAAAAAATATGCTATTTTTAAAAGCCACTCCCTCACCTTCAACAAAAAGGCCTGGCAGAGAACTCACACACACACACACACACACACACACGCACGCACGCACGCACACACACACACACACACACACACACACACACAAAATGATCTCACAACATAAACTGCTGTTGGTCGGGGCCACTGCCAACCTGCGGACAGACAGCCTGGCTGCCTCTGCCATCCTACACCCACAGCTAGCACATCAACCCCTGCCAACAATGCCCAGAGGGCCGACAAAGATGGCCACTCCACTCTAACAGGCCAGAAGCTCTCCAGCAGGCAGCAGGAGACAACGCCACTGAGAATCAGGTGCTTGCACACACACAATAGGCCAAGAAACCAAGTAACCCAGTTAAAACACGGGCTAAGGATCTGAACAGAGAGCTCTCAAAAGAAGAAGTAAAGATGGCTATGAAACATCTTAAAAGGTGTTGATCATCATTAGTAGTTAGGGAAACGCAAATTAAAATCACTTTAAGATTTCACCCACCTTACCCCAGTCAGAATGGCTAAGATCAAGAGAACAAATGATACCAAATGTTGGAGAGGATGTGGGAAAGGGAAACACTCATCCACTGCTGGTGGGGCTGCAAACTTGTTTGTTCAACCCCTATGGAAAGTAGTGTGGAGAACTCTTAAAAAACTACAAATGAACCTACCATTTGACCCGGCTATACCACTCCTTGGCATATACCCAAGAACTCATCCTGTTGTAGACACTTGTACATCCATGTTTGTTGCTGCTCTTTTCACAATAGCTAAGAGACGGAAGCAACCTAAGTGTCCCTCAACTGACGAGTGGATAATGAAAATGTGGTACATTTACACAATGGAATTCTATTCAGCAGTAAAGAAAGACAAAATCATGAAATTTGCAGGTAAATGGATGGAACTAGAAACTGTTTTACTAAGTGAAGTAACACAGACTCAGAAAAACAAAAGACGTATGTTCTCCCTTATATGTGGATCCTAGCACCAAATCTTTCTTAAGTGAGTGTGTATTCAGACATAACTACAGGAACCAGAATAATGACTAGGAACCAGGGAGGTAAAGAGAAAGAAAGAACTTGAGAGAGAAGGATGGGAGAGAGGTGTTACTAAGGGAGAAATGGATAAAAATGGGGTTATTTAAATGGGAGGGGGTGGGAGGGTTATACAAGAACCTTGGGGATAAAGGGAAAGAAGGAGCTCAAGAGAGGTGGGACCATAGGAGACTGGTATTATCAAGCGATAAATGAGGAAAATGGGGACACTTTAAATGGAGAAACCATGGCAGAAGTGTTAGAGAGAGGAGAGATAAACATCACCTCCTCATTTTTAACTGGTGTCACCACTGCAGACAGGTCAGATTCAAGACACACCTCCAAGCCTTGTCCACCTCCAGCAGATGTGCTAACACAAGGGACTTAAGAACAGGGTACCAAAGTGCAGGTCAAGACTCAGTCAGAGGGCCATGAAAACAAGTTAGTAGATTGCACATTACAGGGATTTTTAAGTAGAATCGAATAGAACAGAAAATGTAAATACACCAAGAACATTAAAGAAAAGCATTATTTTGTTAAACTTTATGTGAATGTGTGTATGTGTAGGGCATGTACATGTACCTGTGTTCATGTGTGTTCATATGTATGCAGGTACAGATCATATGTGTACACATGGAGGTCAGAGATCAACATTAGGAGTCTTCCTCAAACTCTTTTCCTTAGGTTTGAGACAAGGTCTCTCATTGAACTGGTAGCTCATCCCTGCCTGGCCAACCAGCTCCAGGGATCCACCTGTCTCTACCCTGTGCAGTGCTGGGGTTACCCACTCACACTACCATGCTAGATAGCTTTAGTGTCAACTTGACACACCTGGGTTGAGGAAGCCTCAATTGGGGAATTGCCTCCATTGAACTGGCCTGTGGCCATGTCTGTGAGGCATCTTCTTGATTGTTGTGTGATATGGGAGGGCCCAGCCCACTGTGGGTGGTGCCACCCCTGAGCAGGTGGGCCTGTGTTGTATAAGAAAGCAGGCTGAGCAGGGGCCAGGGGAGCAAGTCAGTAAGCAGTGATCCTCCATGGCCTGTGCTCTAGCTCCTGCCTCCAAGTTCTTGCTCTGAGTTCCTTCCTTGGGCTTCCTGATGAACTGTGACCCAGGAGATATAAGATAAAATAAACCCTTTCCTTCCCAAGTTGGTAGTGGTCAGAGTATTTTGTCACAGCAATGAAGAAACAAACTAAGATATACCGCTGAGCCCAGCTTTCATGTAGATGCTGGGAATGCAAACTCAGGCCCTCATACTTGGTCGGTAGGTATATCTCTGACTGGTCTACCTTCTCAAACCCCAATTTCATGAATTTTTCTTTTGAAGTTTGGTATACAGATGAACATACTGGATTTTAATGTAAAGATGCATTCTTTACTGTATTCCAGAAAAACTTGGGATCTTGGAAGTTATAAGAAAGATAGGCTATTGTCATTTATTCAGGGTGTTTGGTTGGATATCCCCATGGACAGTCGACTGCCAACATCAACAGCTGGCTTCTTTCCTTCCTATAGTCCATAGGAAGTTCTTTCTCTAAACAAAACATGGTGAGATCAATAATTTTCACTCACTGACTCTAGTTCTGTCCCCTACACTCCTAGTGGACACTGTCTTACTAGAACATGATGTACATTGCAAAGTCTGGCACAGCAGTTGACCTTTGAGAAATAACCATCCCTCATTTGTAGTTCAAATGGTTCATCTAGGATTCTACCCCAGTTCCAGAGTGCCCAAGTGACCTAAGATTAGCCAATCAGAACATGAGCCTCCCCCAACCCAAATGACAGGCTATGATGGTTAACAATGCCAACTTGATCTCGAATCACTGAAGAGACACACCCTTAGGCATGTCTGTGAGGGACTATCTAGATTAGGGTAACTGAGGTGGGAAGATCCACCCTAAATGTGGGCAGTGCCATTCACGGCTGGGGTCCTGGACTGAATAAAAGGAAAAAGCAAGCTGAGCACAAACATTTCACAGCACTCTGCCTCCTGACTGCAGATGCAATGTGACCAGCTGCCTCGGCCTTCCGCTGCCATGACTTCCCCACCATGATGGACTGCACCCTCAAACTGTGAGTCAAAATAGCCCCTTCCTTCCTTCAGTTGCTTTAGTCAGGTATTCTGTCACAGTAACAAGACAAGTAACTAGTACAGTCGCCTAGAATGTATAGCCCTCATTTCTGGCCATCAGTAACTCTCTCCTCTTAACTTCAGGAGTTCAAGTTTGAGCATAAAATTTAAATAGATCCAACTAGGAATTCCAGATCTGCAAGAAAGAGACAAGGTCTCTCTTCAGTCTGGAAGGGTAGAAACTGTGAAGTATCTGGCACCCCGTGACACCACAGGAAAACAGAATGAGGCAAAGAGGAGAGAGTGAGAGACAGAAGGAGACCGAGTCTTGATGAGGTCATTTCAATCTGTGGATCAAGTCATGTTCTAGCCTTCTTGAGTTTTCAATTG